GTTATACCTGGTCCTCGGGGTGACTGGGAGACATCATGGATGGCTTTTATAGAGATTAATATTCCTCCTTTTTTTCTTTTTTTAAGAGATTTTTTTGCCATAGGGCATGTGTGCTTGCCAGAGGGAAAGGAAGTGAGAAATCAGCCTCGCAGGGAAGATGGCCATGTGCATTCCCTTTTCCTCCATTCTCCTCTCAGGATTTTGTGCCTGCACATACCCTCAGCTGGCATGAGTTTTTAAGTTGCTAGGTCTGGGACTCAAACTGCCATCAACAGTGTGGGAGTCCAGTGATGTAAGAATTATATCATCTGCTGGTTCCATAATGTTCCTCTTTATAAAACAATGGGTGCTGGTTACATAGATATGTTTACTTTGAGAAAACTCATTATGTTTTTCAGTTATGACATGTTACGCTTCTATATATATATTATACTTGACTAAAGTTCTTTAAAAAATAAAATAATATAATGCATTCACAAATGAACAGAGTAGTTACCAAAAAAAAAAAAACATTGAACTGAGAAAATAACACTACTGTATTATTTAATCAGAAATATTGCTTTGGGCATCCAGCTTTACCTATTTAGCCCTCTAATTGTGAGATTATTTAACTAGAATTTTTATAATCTTCAAGTACAAAGATCCTAGAATTTCACTTTTCTGCTTTAGTTGGATTTGGGTAGACAATAGAAAGTACATGTGAACTAGTCTTAGCAGTAAAACAAATATTTATGAGACAGAAGTTAGGGGTTGAGTAGAGAGGGATGGGAAGTCAGGAAAACAGGAGCAGCAAATCAAAGTCTTTAGGGAATGTCCAGAGCCTATTTACTAATTGGCTTGTGTCACAAGTCTCTCCTGGGAAATAGTAAAAATGGCCTAGCCAGGCATAAGTCTATAAAGGAGTGAAGATGGTTTTCTTTGGCTATGAATGCAGGGTCAAATTCAAGTGTGAAGGGCAGTGATAAAAGGAGACAGTTGCAGTCAACAGTGGTTCCAAGCACAAATCAACGTTAACCATCTTAAATTGTGTTCAGTTCCCCTGTTGGTCTTTTCAGCTACACAAACTATAATTGCCTTTATAGTGGTTGCAAAATCTGCAAATATTAAAAATAAGACGTATGACTATATCTAGTACAAGGCAGTTATATGGGCATTTACTATGTTATTCTTCCTCACTAAAGCCTCACGAAAAAGTGAGAAAGCTTATTAGTCCATAGAATGTTAATATAAAATATTTAGAGAGGTCAAATGTTTATAGCTTTTAAGTATTAAAATGTGCATACTTGCCCTGAAGCACATAAAACACTATTATAAGTAAGAAAATATTAATAAATTATTAGTTACTTAAATTGTGTAGCCTGTGGCTCCCCTACATGATAAAAGTTGAATAGCTCTTTTTAAGCTTTTATTGGGATCATCAGTCATCGACTCACTGATGAAGGTAAACAAGGAGACAAATGTCTTTTGTGCTAGCACTCTCTTATCATCCTTGTTAATCTGTAATTATTTTGGGGAGCAGCATATATGATTTGGGACCAGAATTAGTTTTATTTCCAACATTAGAATGGTAAATCCCTTCATTAACTGAAACAGTACATGGAACTGTTATTAAACTTATTCTTAATGTGTCACTTTGGATATTTATTTCAAATTGTAGTTATGCATGGATGGGTATCATATGATGCTTTGATGACCTTTAGAAATTCTCCTGATTAAATGCTGTTGTACTTCATTATGACATTTCTCTCCTTGTACTACCAGATTTGATGTGTATGGCTTAATAATGCAAGTAGACACGAATGTTAATAACTTCACAATTCATTGCTTTGCTATTTTTTAATGCACATGGAATTTAGTACAAGTTTTGCTGGCTGCAGGCTTACATGAATCATATAAATTAGAGGGTAACAAAAGAACATATTAGCATTTGTTAGCCTAGATGCACGGATTTTGTACTAACCATTTTAATATGTACTACAACTTTTCCACCCTCAAGTTAAAAAGTCTTTCAATTTTTCAACCAACATCATAATTGAATTGGTTCTTTCTCTGCCTAAGGATAATGATTTTACACTGATGGAATCTTTATTAGATTCTAAGGATATACTGATGTTACTGGTTTGATGTCAAACAACTCCACCCAGTGAAAGGGGTATTTCAGGGAAATCATGGGAAAATACATAT